TAGTTCCCAAGAGAAAATGAAAACGGGATCTATCGGGATCCCAGTCAAATCCCGGTAAAATTAGCGGGATAAGCCGGGATGGGCCTCAGAAGTCGGGATTCCATTCGGGATAAATATCTGAAACTGGGATCCCATTCGGGATATATGTCTGAAACTGGGATCCCATTGGGATATCTGTCTCAAGCTGGGATCCAATCCCAGTTGAAGAAAGATAAATATACGAAACTGGGATCCCATTGGGATAACTGTCTGATACCGGGATCCCATCTTACTTTAAACAGGGAAACATAAACCAGAATTTTGTGTGGAATTTAAAAAAAATTATCCTGGAAATGTAAAATATATCCTGGTTATAGATTTCTGAGAAAAACCTAAATTTTGTAAATTTTCCTTTTTAAATCAATGAATACAAAAATATCTTGGAGAACACAAAGTAATAAAAAAACAATGCATGAATTGAAGATATGTTTATTTCATTTCCTTTTTTAAATGCTGCATGTGCAGTAAGGGATGTTCCATAAAAACATACATTGGACCCAGGGAAGGCAACTTTAATTTGCCACTATGGGCTGGTGTGAAATAATGTGTTTAATGGGCTTTAAATGTATACCTGTAGGCCTTATTAATTGCTTCTATGGGTGGTCGCTGTGTTTTTAAAGTGCCTTCCCTGGGTACCTAGTATGCTTTAATGGGACAGCACTAACAACTTATCCACTTTAGAATTATAATTATGATATTTCAAACATCAAAACATTAAGAGTAAATATATAGATATTACAAATGTCATCTGCTCATCTTCTTTCACTTTAATATGCTTAAGGATGTTTGATTCTGGAGTCAATTTAATTGAAATTTTCCCTTGGGTTCTTCTAAGAAATAATATGACATTTTTTTTCTCATTCAGTACTGTAATAAATACAACAATGTTTGTTCAATGAAAAATTCAATCAATACAACTGCATCAAAATTGACAAAAAAAAATTCTTTACACTGTATAAATTAACTGTAGCTATAGAGCATATAAGAAACTGGAAATCAGGGGAAAAAAAAATATTTTTGTTAAGGATTATAAATAGACAGAAAAATTGTGAAAATTAAGTAATCAGCTCTTTTTTGCATTCCTGTTTGGTGCTTTTTATTAAGTATAAAAATTTCAGCAAAAATTTAGGTCCTTACAAATTTTATTTATTACCTTAAATAGGTGTTATTTTATCATATGGTACAAAAATAATTTGAAAAAATCAATTCGTGTTGGCCCCAGGTGAATTTTAAAATGTATAGATATCATTGAAAACGCTCCAAATTATCTCCCTTTGGTACAAAAAAATGCAATCTTTGGCATCAGAATTGATATCTTTTTTTAACTCTTTGGTGACCTATATTCTTTATTATTATTTTCAATTAAGATGTTCTTAACCTAAACTATTGTAAAATCTGAGCGATTTCTGTAATTAAGTTCTTTTTTTATTTCGATATTACCTCTTTTTCTCCTATTAACAGAAACAAGGCACCTTTACAACAAGGTATGCTTCTTTTGAAGGCAGATTGTGAGCCTTAATGAATGGTGACCTGGCACATTTTTGTATTTTATTTTTCTATTTAGTATAAGATAAAGTTCATTTATAAAAAAATATAGCGATATCTTATCTAAAATAAAAATGGATTTAGACCCGTGAACCCTCTTAACCAGCTTTATAAACAAAACTTCTATAATAACATAAATATTGTACTACTGTTTATATATAATAAAGTTAATTGTGTTCCATAATATTGGGTGGAATTGAAAGAAGTTTTCTGTTTCTTTGACAGGCCATAAATACACATTTAAACTGAATGTTTTCAACTGGCACTAAAGTGGGATTTTCTATTTGCTGCTCCTGTAATTGAACAATTTGCGGACACAAATTAAAATCTTTGTATGCCAATAAGAACTGATTCCTCACATCTGAGAAACTAAACAGAGATTTTGGCATTAGCTGAAATTGGTCAATTACGGCAAATAAACTAGGTTCTGTTTGAAGAAAGTACTTGACACTGCCAAATTTTGTTGTTTGTTGGTCATCCAGATACATTACAGAATAAGAATTCCTGTTGCTTGTCCTTCTGTATTGCTCACTGTAGATAACTCCAATATTTGTTTCAGCTCTATAGTACTTGTAAACAGCCTGGCTTTGGTCAATAAATAAAGCTTTTTCTTTAGTTGTCATTTTGTGTAAATTTCTTGCTCCAAGAGGTTTAATACGTCCATTCTCAAATTCATCACTGAAATTATACAATTTCTTTTTAATAGGATTCATACATTTTTAAAAAACTAGCAACTCTCAGTATTAACATATATTTGTTTTCCTTGATACAAACCTTGCAATAGGAAATAACTGTATTGTATTTTAGGCATTTACAAAAAGTGATCGAGTGAAGATGACCAATTAAAATCTGTTTATCATTATTTTGCCTATGACATCAATTATGTTTGTTGACAACGCTAAGACATTAGCAATAATTTGCATCATTATTGTGATATGAAATTTCTTAGCTATAAATATTACAGGAAAAACAAACAAATAGTAATTATAAATAACGAATTAGTTCTTTTAAAGACAATGTATATCTGCATCACTTCATCAAATTTTGCTAACTTGATTAAAAGTCTAGACCTTAGATTCTCTGTTGTTTACAATCCAAGATGGCAAAAAAAAACCACCTTAATAATGTTTGCAGGTATATACATGTAAAAAATTACCTGATCATCAGTTTACTGCTTAAGCGATGAATGAGTAATTTAACATCCAACTCTGCATTATTTGATATCATTTTCACCAAATCTGGTAAGCATTTTGCCATGCCAACTGCAAAGCAAATCTGTAAAAACACAAATTCAACATGTTCAAATATTCATTTGATTTTAGAAAATTGTACTATTTTCAGTACTAAAAAAGTAACATATAATTTTGTTTCAAGTTAAACTGACTTTTAAATTCAAATAATTACATTAGATGTATGTTTCATTATAATACGTTATTCTGATTGGCTAATTGCACATCACATGTTATTCCGTAAGCAGTTGCATGAGACAATAACATTTCATTCATGATGACACGAGGTCCAACAATAAAGTGCACAGGTGAATTTAAAAATTTAACTTCATGAAAATCGTGTTTTTATAATCCGAGCTAAAAAATGTAATTATAAGTATTGAATGCTTCTTTTTGTAACTTTATAGGGTTGTAAAAGCGTTGACCGTGCGTACATTTTTAGAATGAAGCGCTTCCGCGCTTCATACAAAATGTACTTCGGTCAACGCTTTTACACCCCAATAAATTTACAAAAAGAAGCATTCAATTCTTAATTGATGTTAAAGATAAAAATGTAGGTATACATTGCACTTATGTTTGCTGTGACCACAAATCAAAATACCTAGAAAATACAATTTCTGACAGGCCAATACTTTCCATCAGTGCTATTAATGTTCAAATGGCAGTGGGTTTGTTAAATACCTGACTATTTATAAACCGTGTTCCATGTACCATGTTCTTCAGATGGCTATTCATCGACTCGAAACCAAAACAGGAATAATGAAATATAGGCCCATGTGACTTCACAAATTCTGGCATGTGCTTAAGTAGATGTATGTTCATTGTTTGCTTCGATAAAACTGAAAAAAAAATGATATAATTTAAATCAAACATAGCTGCATGTACACTGTTATACTTTAATAGAACCACCCTGATCGAGAATTGTGTCATGACATTAAGATAATTACAAAAGGGTGATCCTTCAAAAAAATAACAAACATATCCTGTTAAGGTGGCCAGGTGGTATAAATATAAAATATAGGATTTTGCATATTTTTTGATGAATGAACATTATCATGTACTCATATATATATTGTTTAAAGATGTCAACCTTAATTACAAAGCTTAGGTTAATGTTTGTTCAAACAAAGCAAGCAATCCAATCAAAGTTTTAGTGTACAAGCATTAGGAAATTAGCTGTAATTGAAAATCTAATGTGCAGGTTTGCCATAAAAATAAATTCTATGTATAAAATGTCTTTCTAAACCATATTTTGTCTTTCGAAAACCATGAATTGTATGTTCTATTAAATTTCAAACATGCTCAGAGTTGATGTGCAGAAGAATACCATCGCACCACCTTAAACGATTTTTGGACACAGATTTATTTATTAATTTACTTGACAGTCTTTTAACTCAAAGAGTTCTCCATATAGTATACAGATTGTTTGTATAAGTTTCATGAAATTTGGTTAATTTGTTCTGAAGTTATGGTGCGACTTGTTTACAACAGAGAGAGGAATGCTGCATATTTGTATTCCATAATATCATGTCCCACCATTATTTTGAGTATAAAAATGCTTTGTAATTACCAAAGTAATCTGGAAACAATCTACAAAAATCCTTCAGACATTTCTCAGCCTTCCCAATTTCATCCCTAGAAACTGACTGTTTATTCAGAAGATACATTGCTGTAACCAACAGGGAATAATGAATCATAATTTCCAGTTCCTGAATTCCTGTCATTATTGGTACTGAATAGTGTAGCAACCAATCTTTGCATTCAGTTGCTGTAATGGAAATAAATCTTATGTAAATGAGTTCTTATCAATATCAACATTTATATTTTAATGAATGATTTTCTGTAAATAAAACAAATTGGTTAGTCACTGTTCAGTTACATGTATCTATCATGGAAATTTCTTTCAACACACCAATCCATTTCAAAGGAGATTCTAAATTAACTGAAAAGTTTACAAGTTGTTTTAAAAATTATATTCATGTATTGAACAAATCTAATTATCTTCAACATTAATAATCATTGTTTAATTTAAATTTCATATGAATACAGTCAATTTATGTACATACCTTTCCAGTGTTTGTAATCTTCAAGCTTTCTCTGCTGTCTTGTGATATAATCAGGTACTTTTATACTCAAAAGCCTTTGATTCACCAATGCTTGCTGTGAATTGAAATGTTAACCTCATTTTAGGGTTTAATGCATTTCATTTTATAAAAAATGTTTTATTTATTTTTCATACATAACATATTTGTAAGGGTCAGCTGAAATAAAAAAACCTGAAATGTCAATTTAATTTTCATTCGGCAAATCAGAAAAATGGGGTAAGCGGATCTGTAAATGAAAAACTAAAAAAGCCCTGGCCTAAATTATGAATACAAGGCTTGTTTGTGGTTAGGTGTGTTCAATTTGAAATTGAATTGACAATACTTCAGTTTTGTTGCCTTGATAAAGCTGAAAACTTATAATGAATTAATGAATAAAACTCCCATTTAAAATTAAAAATATTGCCAGGCTAAGAGCTGTAATTTGTTAAAATGAAGACAACAGACAAGTTTACACATATCAGAATTGAAAAAAAGTAAGGCTAAACAGTTCTTTCAACACTTCATACTGTATCATGTGTATGGTGAGTCAAGGTCGTTAAAATGTTTCATTTGTTTGTTTCTACTTCTACTGAAAACTTGTGTGTTTAATATATATATGCATGTTTGTATCCCATTCCAAATTCTAATATTTGAAACCTTTTCATGTTAGTTAGTGTGTAGATTGTTTGTTTCGTTTGGCAAAGTGAACATGATTTCCTTTGAACATAACTTTAAAAAAATGATTCTTAAACAACCCAAGAAAGTTTAAGTAGGCACACAATTTTAGGGTGAGTCAAGTGCAGGAAACCAACATATTTTTATGTCTGGCCTTAATTACCTTATCACCAATATAGTAAGAGTTCCCTTTATAGACTGGATCACACCACAGAGTTAATATTGTCTTGACAACTCCCAGCAAGACTGCATGCATCCAGTCAATAACAAAGGTTCTTGGTAAATCTATATATTGCAGTGCAATCAGAGCAGTGGCACCTTTAATTCCATGTATCTGTTTTTAGAAAATAAAAAAATATTCACTGCAGTTTCATTTTCATGGTCACAGCCAACATGTGCAAATTAAACAGTGTCAAAACAAAAACATATGTGTTCTGTTTAAAAAAATTGATATGCTTGCAATTTCATGAAGAAAAAACCCATTGTCTTCTTGATATTGAAACAGCAGCTGCATTTATCATAAAGGACCAATATTTAAATACAAGTTCTGTCTATTTGTTAAATAAAGCTTTTAATAATTATATTTCTTTTTGCTGTTTTTCAACTAAGAATTTTTTTAAGCAAAAGGTAGATGGATTTATTTAAGGTATCAAAAACTAAAATTAAGGGAAAAAAAACTCAGATAAATGACGAAAAAATAAAGTTTTGAGTATAGGGGCCAATTTAAATGGGTAAATAGAAAACAATAAATTTTATATGGAAGGCCCAAAATGTCTTACAGGCTGTCCTGTGTTAACTGCTATTCGGGCATCCTCCAACATACACTTGTGAGATCGTGCAACAGAATCCTCCACATAAGGGTAATATCTCAGCATTGGTCTATTTGGTGGATTTTTGCCTTCGTCTAGACAATAACTGCACCCAAATTTGCCATTAAACTGTTTTGCATTCAGTACTGCTGCTTTGGCTGGAAGGTCAACTGAAACGGCTAGTAGATGACACCTCAATAGCATTTCTCCATATCCAGTTGTTATTTTCATCCCTGTAAAAATATAATTTGATTTTGCTTATTCTATTATGATCAGACATTTTTGTGATTTTCAATGAGTTTACAGCTGGAGTAAGATATGAACTGGTGATATCTCTGTTCTGAGTATTTTATTGGTCTATCCTATGGTGTGATATTAATACTCTTTTGACTTTTCCAATTTCCTCATCATCAATTCTGGTTGGCCATGCCTAGTAAAATTGTTGGTAATCAAAACAAAATATCAAAACCAGTAGCAACCAAACTTTAAAAGCATAGAAAATTACTGCACTGTGGAAAAAACATATGGGAAATAGGTTTAAAAACTGAAGAAAACTTTACATTGCTGGATACCAAACTCTAGTCATTTAATTTCAAATATAATAACTTAAGCAGATATGGAGCACTGTACAATTATGCTCACTGTGAAACCTCTAAACAAATATCATTAGAACTAGTCCATAATGATATATGATGTAACAGAACCATCTTAAATGGCTGAACTATTATTCCTATTTCTTATTTGTATAAACTATAACTGTCTGTAATAGAACAGATCACATATTTCAAATAACAAAACATCTTCAAACAGGTTAATCTAAGACTACTGTACACTCATGATAGCGTATTTCCTTTCTTTAAGAATTTAACACATAATTTTGTACTTAAATAAATACACAAAGCACATTTGACAAACTCTAAGAAAACAGACACACACACATATAGTTTAAGGCTAAAATTGATAAGCATGTGCACCAACAAATTTTATACAGAACTGAAAAAGTAGTTTTATTACAATTCATACTATTCAAAGTCTTTAGTTTCAGATGTTTTTCTAACATTATCTATTCTTACATGTACACAAACACCCCAATGGACAATAAATCCAATACTTTTAAAGTACTTTGAGTGTCCGAGTCTACATTAGTATATACCTTCAGCATGCAGTTGTCTGAGAGTTTTCATCAGTGGAGACAAATATGCTAGCATATTTGGTTTTTCTGGTTGGCAGTATAAATGGGTTGTGAGTAGGTATTTCTTGGAGTACCGTAACTTAACTGGAAGTTCATTCACTGCTAAGTAAACAGGCCACAAGCTACCTTTGTTTGAGGATGAAAACAAAGCAACACCATCTGAAAATAGAGAAAATGATTTATTTCTGCTATATGTCTTTGCTAATTTCCCTCCAAGGAACAATATTTTATGCAAAAAAAAATAATGCTAAAATGGACCGTTTTCTTATTTTATAATTGGGAAAAGAACCATCATGGACAACTAAAACAATCTTCTCTAGTCTGCATTTGTCATGTGAAGTGTATCTTTTTATCATGCAGTTGCTATGGTAATAGTCAAGTAAACCTACACTTTATTATGCTAGTAGAATTATAAAGCCTTGTTTATTAAGTTACAGTGAAAATCTAAGGAGTTTTGCTTCTGACATTGTGTAATGGTGGTGTAAACCTTGAAAAGCTTTTGTCCATCAAATCAGTTAGAAAATGTTCAACTTTGATTTATATAAATTTTACTTTGAACTCAGCATTTCTATATGTTTCTAATTCTAGTTTTTTATGCACCACCTACCGATAGTAAGGGGGCATTATGTGTTCTGGTCTGTGCGTCCGTTCGTCCGTCTGTCTCGCTTCAGGTTAAAGTTTTTGGTCGAGGTAGTTTTTACCCAAATGTCACAGTCCACTGAACATGGAAAATGATAGTGTGAGTGGGGCATTCGTATACCGGGGACACATTCTTGTTTATATATATATTTATATATTATTAATTCGTATATTTGAACAAATTTGATTTGTTTAGGGATGTAGTCACATGTTAAACTATACTTTCAAAGGTAGAGAAAAAACGGTGGATAGCAAAAAGCACATTGCACAGAGCATATTGCACGGTTATTTTTAGAATATCTAAAACCCGATTTACTTTGTGACGTCATGTAATGAATTTCAGGATATCGTTTAACGTTATGAAACAAATGATATCTGTGATCAATTATTTGACGAAAAAAATCTTCAAATACATAAGACGTCAAACAAACAAACAAAAATTAAATTAAATAACAACTAATATGTTGGTATTGTCAAGGTGACAATATGATATCTTTAAAATTTAAACAAAATCAAATGACGATTTTGATACAAATATGCATAATGGTCCGAAATTGATAATATAACAAATATAGCCTTTGTATGAGGTCAATACAGGATATATCGACCCAAAGAAGTATATCACTGTATCGACCTCATACAAAGGCTATATTTGTATAATATCCCAGAATATAAACTTTATTTTGTACTCAGCATGAAACAGGTGATGAATGCTTGAGAAACCTTGCATTTCTTTTTGTTAATAAATCAATATTCCATGACATAAAATATATATATTGTATATTTATTTCTTATTTAAATTTGGTTATCTTAGATACCTGTATTCATGGTAAATGTAATGTTCTTCTCAGATTGGCTAATTTTTGGTATGTTATTTATTCTTTGGTATTCTGAGCCATCACAAATATCGTTAAATTGATCTTGCTGATCAGATGGTGGTTCTTTCTCAAATATAAGTTTGCAAATCCTTTCATCTAAATTAAATAGAAAGTAAATGTTATAACTTAACTACAAATGTACTTAACATCTTGAAAGTGGCACAACTGTTGTAGTTAAAAGTATTAAATAATAATGTTCTTGATAATTTGTTGGTGAATGTTGATAACTCCAACTGCAAGTTAAAACCTTTCATAATAATCAGCATGAACTGTATTCACCAAAGTAAGAACAAAGGGAGCTTGTCTTCATAGAAACTAGTCATGCTACTAGTGTATAAAAATTTCACCAAGATTCATTTTCAAGTAAATTGAATTATTGTTAGACACATTAGGACAAGAGAACAACACTATAACAGTTCACACATTTGATGTTTTAACTTTTTCGATGATATTTCATGAATTTTACCATGAAACTATATTAAGATGTACATGTACATAACATGTCTTAAGTGTCTACTAAGTCAAATTTATTGAATACTGTGATTTGTTTATATTGTCAATCAATATGCGACAGTACTATAATCATGATAATAAACTAAATATTTATTTATGATTTGACAGGTGTATTATAACAGGAAAAATATTTTTACATAATTGGTTTGAATAAAAGAAAGGTTGAAATTTAAAGTTTACTAGGAAATTTAATTTTATTATTGAGCCCAATTAAACCTTTGAAAAGTTCTTCAATCTGTTTTTCCAGTCGAAGGTCATAAAATTCTTTAGTCTTTGCCTGCATGGTTCTACAATCATCTTTTCTACAGTTTTCTCCTTCAGCTAAAAGTGTTCCACATATATCACATATAAAGTGTTTAATAGGCTCTTTAATATCCTTTTTCCTTTTTAAATATTCTTTGAGCTTGTAAACAGATGTAGTTAATTTACATGGTTTAGGCATAAAGGATATCAGTAGGAACAGTAAATCTGTAAATGCCTCTTTTGTTAAGCAGTGTTTCATTACAAAGAGCATAATGCTGACATAAGCAGAAATGACAGTATGAGCAGAGCCATCATAGAGATGTTCGTCTTTTAGCTCTGACTCATCAAAATTTATGTTCTCTTCATCCTCTTCATTGTCTGATTCAGAATAAACTGACTCATCTGAGTCAATTCCTGACAGTGATATGTTACTACATGTACCGTCACTAAATGACAATGAGTTTTCACTTCCTGTCAGTGAAATGTCACTACTACTCCTACTCATTGTGCTTTCATTGTTACATGTATATATATCAGCAGAAAAAACACTGGCACTTGAACTGGCATATTCACCCTGAGGAATCTGTTCTGGAGTAAGATCTGCAAATAAATTTCACATTCTAATATGACGGGCTTCTTTAGCTTTGTAAACAACACTGTGATAAAATTCTAGATAAAATATACTTAGCGCAGACTCAGAGATAAACATAATAATGGCTGTTACAGTATACTTCCCACGTAAATCTACATGTATTGTAACCTATTTGCAGACCCTTTGCCGATTTTATTGTTTTCAACAGTGCAATTAAACAAGAGGCTCACAAGAGCCTGAATCGCTCACCTTAATTTGTTCTTATCAATGATTATTTTGGCTTTTCAATTTATTTAAATGTTCTTTAAATCGTCCTATTTTCTTCAAAAGCAAAACAAAAATCATTTTCTCCTATGTTCTATTTTAGCCATAGGAGCTATGTTTCTTGACATACAAGGAAATGAAATATAAAATTTATACTAGATACTCTGAAACTCATATAGCCTAAGTTTGGCTGAAATTGATACAGCAGTTTCAATTTTGGAGAAGATTTTTTAAAGTAAGTCAACATGATGAACAAATTGTGAAAAAAGTCTTTAAAGGGCAATAACTCCTTAAGGGGTCAATTGACAATTTTGGTCAAATTGACTTATTTGTAGATCTTACTTTGCTCAACATGTTTGCCATTAACAGTTTATCTGAATCTATAATAACAAAAACTGCAAAATTTCTTTAAAATCATCAATTCAGGGGCATTATACCTGAAAAAGCAGTAACCCAATTCGGCTGAAAATTTCAGGACAGGTACCCCTTGACCTAATAAATACTTTAATTTCTTGTCTTATTTGCTCTAAATGCTGGAGTTTTTGAGATACATGTATAAGCCAAAAAACTGCATTTTACCCTGTGTTCTATTTATAGCCATAACGGCCATGTTTTTTGACGAAATAGAAAATCAAACACAAACTTTATTTTATACACCCTACTGATCATTCAGTTGAAGTTTGGTTGAACTTGATTGAGTAGTTTTAGAGGAGAAGATTTTTTAAAGTTAGCAAATATGATGAACAAATTGTGAAAAATTGTCATTAAAGGACAAAAACCCCTTAAGCGGTCAATTGACAATTTTGGTCATATCAACTTATTTGTAGATCTTACTTTGCTGATCATTTTTGCTGTTTACAGTTTATCTTTATCTATAATAATATTCAAGATAATGACCAAAAACTGCAAAATTTCCTTAAAATTACCAATTAAGTGGCAGCAACCAAACAATGGGTTGTTTGATTCATCTGAAAATTTCAGGGCTGATAGATCTTGACCTAATGAACATTTTTACCTCGTGTCAGATTTGCTCTAAATGCTTTCGTTTTTGAGATATAAGCCAAAAACTGCATTTGACCCCTAAGTTCTATTTTTAGCAATGGCGACCATGTTTGTTGATAGATCAAAACGTCAGATACAATTTATAAACTAGATACCCTAAGGAACATTCAGTTAAAGTTTGGAAGTATTTGGCCTAGTAGTTTCAGAGGAGATGATTCTTGAAATAGTTTACGCAGACAGACAACAGACGCCAAGTGATGGCATAAGCTCAATTGGCCCTTCCGTCCAGGTGAGCTAAAAAAGACAAAATAACTTTTATTCTTATTCGTATGCATAATATAAAGAAGTAATGCACAAGAGCTCGGAAAAATCAACAAAATAAAATTCAGCGAAAGTCTATTAATCTTTTTGGTGCATTTAAGCTATTTCAAAACACGACGTCATACACATGAAACTGCTAAAGTTGAAAGTTTTCTGATAGGTGAACCATCGGAATTCGTATGATATTGTATTAAAACTGATTTTTGAGGTTGGTTTTGTTTTATTTTCTATTCTATTTCGTTATTCGCATATTTACCCATTTCAGCAAGTCAACATAGCGGCTCCTTAGTTACAAAATGTCAACTTTGGATTTGACAGAAACTTACGAGAAAAACATGTAAATTAAAAATGGCAAATGTTGGGTTTGAGAATTTAAAGAATTTAAAAGTTTTTTTCTTGCAGTTATTCTGGAAATAACCTACGCAAGCTACATATTTATAAAGATATTTGAGCTTTATCTGACAGGATGTAAAAAAGA